GGAAAAATAATGATGCATCGCCGTTGTGTGTGCATTGTGAAGAAAAAAAAAAACAAACAGTTTAGATCGAACTTTATAACCTCTTCTCGATGACCTATTATTCAACTCACTCAACACTGGCATATCATTTCAAAATGTAAAATGATAGTTTTATGCTCATCAAGGGATGGTACCACTATAATTCAGGAAGTTGACCATCGCAGTGGAAAGCTGCAAACCAATGAATGGAAAAATGGGGTGCGGTTCACAAACCACGAGATAATGGACGAACGACGAACAAAACTTCACCACCACTACCATGAATCGATCCTTCGGAAGCTCTGAGTTGACCACTTCACATTCTTGATGTTCGAGAACTAATTCACACCTGGAGGAGGATTAATATCAGCCTACTAACAAACAGTCATTTCAGTGAGAAAAGGTTGAAACGAATGTTGTTCAACCTTCTTATAGGCCCAAATGTTGACAGTCGACTGTTTGTTTAAAAGGCTTGGCCACAAAATAACAGCAGCAGCAATGATAGTAGTAATAACGATAATACTCACGATATTCACAGTATTAGTGGTCAAAGCGAATAATCACCTAAGCATAATCCAATGAATCAGAACTCTCCTCGGATTCCCCACTCCTCCCTTAAAAAACACGGACTCCACATCCAAAACGGTGGTGAGTTAATTGAATTCCAACCAACAAAGAACGACAAACACACGTTTGATTATTGGATAATGCACATTCCGATGGGCTTACCGACTGGAGCTGGAGAAAGCAATCGATGATCTTTCCGACGAGAATCGATCCACATCACGCCACAAACGATGAGGATGGGAACGCCGGGGATCGATTTGATCGTGATCATCTTCCTCTTCGGTATCGGATGTCATTTGACGGTCTCCATCATAGATCATGAGGCCACCCCGATGCCTACTGTCACGGGCATCATAATCCGCGTCCGCATCTTCCTCGTCATAGTATTCATCATCCACATCCGAGCAACGACGAGCTCCAGTCCCGTTCGTATACACTTCGAGTTCCTCTTCCTCTTCCCCTTCATCTTCATCATATTCATCATCCCCAGGTTCATCCCATTCCGGATCTGTGGACCGCGTCATCCCCGCAGGCCAGTCATAATTCTCACTAACTGCCAAAGGATGAACGCGGTTACGGCGAGATGAACGTAACCGTTGTTGCTGTGATGTGATCAGTTGTGAATTGGGACGTCCCAAACGATTTCGAGGCTCCACAGACAGGCTCTGAGATGTCACTTCATATCGTCGTCCACCTGACATCGTGGGACCGGCAGCAGATTGTTGAGGTTGTCGCCTCTTTGACATTCGAGGTGACTGTTGTACCGGTGGACCGACCTGACGTCGTTGTGGAACACCCCGACCACCGTAGTTCGATCCTCTAGACTTCATTACAGCGGTCTCAACTGGATAGTGTTCGTCTTGCACTTGACGACGGGGACGTCCAGAAGCTGACTGTCGCATTGCATTGGTTGCTTGCGGATTCCCGCTGGAACGACGACGCTCTGGCATACTATTGTACCAGTCTCTGGCTGGAGAGACTGAGCGTACTGGTTTTTCGGATGCCACGGAGCCGATATATTCCATCGCCTCACTGCTTGAATGATCCTCTTCCGGTTGTTGTTGGTGTTGCTGTTGACTTAGCTCGGAAGAACGTGAAGCGGTCGGTGCACGCGAGTCTCTGAATACCTGATCCGACTTCTCTTTCGGTAAAGTGGATTCAAATTCGGTCGGGGAAGCCTCTTTCGATGAAGGAGCTAGTTCATCTGGAGTGATAGCTGCTTCTATCAACGATAAATCTGGTTCCGGGTGTACGTGGGATTCTCGTGTCTCGGTCACGTTAGAAGTCGGATAATTCAGCTGATCTTGCAATAGAGATGGAGTCTGGGATGGAACGAAGCGCATACAAATCGATGAGAGCTATATCCAAGTGCACTAAATAAGACAGTTATTCATAATCATGTGAGAAGGAACATTTGGCAAGCTGAAGGTATATAGACGAATGCGAAACCACAAGTGCGATAGAAAACCACCGAAGTACAGAGCACTAATATAAACGCCGTAATGTGCAGTTTACCAGATAGAGAGTCACATACACACACACAGAGCCAATCAGTCAAACGCCACCTCCTGACCGATATCGGTTCAAGAAATTCACAAGCAAGAACTGTGTATGCCTGAGTGTGTTTACACACACACACACACGTATGCAAAAACCCTGACACATGAGGCAAATAGTAAAACAGAATAAACACATATACGGAGAGAGAAACAGATCGATAGAATAGCTGACAGTAGCAAATCTAGATGAAGAATTTCATTGGCAGTATCAAATTGACTGTTTGAGAATACATCTCACAAAAAGGATAAGTTAGAACTGAGCAGATAAGATGTGTAGCTCAAAATAACGGCATTTGGAAAAACAGACGAGGCGTAAACATTTATTGAAACAAGCAGCTACCCCCTACCCAACGCGCGCGCGCACATATACACACACTCACTGGAGGATGAACTTACTACTTACAAACACATTATTGCCACGTGACACCACCAAAGATGATCAGTATAGAGAAGAATCATGCAAATCAAGAAATGAATCATCTAGCAACAGGCATATTGGGCTGAGAGGTGAACTGTGTGCAGGTCAAGCCAAACCATCACTGCAATATCGCGATAAAATAGTCAGTTTCGAGCCTGATTTGAAACGTGCACAGTAATATTATCCACCGTGACTAACTCATCATCATCGGCACCGTGATACAGTGAAGCGAACTTCACTGATCGCTACCAAATTCATAATGCATACAAAGTTAGTGAGAATGTGTAGAGAGGATAGGGATTGGGACGGGAAAAGGTCAGCACACAGAGTACATAGTCAAGCTATGCATACACACGTTATGGTTTGATAAAAGTGACAACAAGATCGCCATTGCTGTCAGTTCGCAGTCACGACCTTCAGTGTCTCCAACCATGCGGTTACGGAGTCGCTTGGACCCCACCCCGGAAAACGAGGGGGACACCGATTCTATTTAATAGCCGTGCCATTTTTCTTCATGCCTCGTAGCCACGTCATCTTCTGACCTCCAAGTGGTGTTCTCCAATCTAACTGATTAACTGGCCATTAAATGTCATTAACTGCAGTGAATGATGTCCCAGTGTACGAACGTACGCATCTTAGTGCTTATGATTCTCGTTACATGCTTCGGAATGCGGTGCTCCGTTCAATTCGAAATATCTGATCCAAGGGGAGCTACATCAAACATCAGACCCACCAAGCTCCGTTTCTCTCTCTCGATCAATCGAAGTTTCCGGGTGTGGTCCATTCGCCTTCTGTTGCAATCTCTTGCGATCAAAAGATAGTCAGTCTGTGAATGTTACCTCGAGCAAACTGACGTTCGTTCAAATAAGGTGCTTGGATTCGTCCTCTGGTAAGATATGAAAATCTGATTCGCTTTCATATAACGTTTATTTCTCGCTACGATGCTGATTTAAAAAATCAAATCTTCCCTCTATTCATTCATAAATCCAAGGTTTTGTTTTTGGGACTAATTACAAGCGGCTGACTTTCTTGTCACACGGATTTTCACACAACTGAACCCATTTACTAAACACAGAGAGAGAGAGCGCGGTGATGGTAATAGTGGTAATGTCACCAAACTATCACCCCGAGGATGTATGTATGTTAGAATCCCACCACGACCGCCTAACACATCAGTGTGTATTGAATGGCGGCTCCCTGATTGGCCACTTTTCTCTTCCTGAAAATGATATCTTCGCATATTCAATAAAAGGAAGTTGGAAAAAAATTGAAAAGAAAAATGAAGAATGTCATAAAAGACGACAAACAAAACCAACGCATAAAGAAGTATGGGCGATGGTTGAAAGAACCCGAAAAGACACTTGTTTATGCGTCCAGGGTCCGTTGTGGAAAGATTGTTTCAAAAATTTCCAACTCCGCCATGAAACACCTGTTGTTTATGTCACAGCAACTCACATCAGTTAAACTGAATCCTGGAGAGATTCAACACTTTCGAGGTGTATCATATTATATTCACGATCATATTTGTTTTTGAGTGGAAGCTAAAATTTGAAATACTGCATTTATGCTTTGTAATTGATTGTGGTTCTCGAGAAGTAGAAGACATTGTGAAAATTACGGGATGGGGAAAAAATCTATTGCACAAAATTTGTACATCAACGGCGACACACGAAGTAAAGGATTGTGGATCGAGGCTGAAGGTTTGTCGATCCGGGCGGGCTAAGGAAGTACGGATTTCGGCTGAAACTCCATGGGAAAAGATGCAGTAATATGAATTATCCGACAGGTCTAGATTCGAATCTATCGCGTAACTAAATGCCACTGTTCACTGCCGGTACGCCCAAGAAACGTGGCGTTCGAGAGAAACCATTCGATGCTGAATTGGACGCCAGTTCGAAGAAACCGCCAGAATCAACTTATTGTACTTCATCAAAAGTTTTTTTTCATTAGTCGTTGCACAGTTACTGCTAAAAATGTAGGTCTAAGTCCGACTTCAAAAACTCCGATACTAGATCTGTTAGAAGCGTATCGGATAATTTGACATGCCACCGCTCGTTCACATATCGAGGGCTCTTGTGTTTTGTAACAAGCTTGTGAGAACTGACAGACATGACAAACCGATGAACAGTCGCTCAATATGAACAACTGCGTTAACAGCGGGTATGGCACTTTTATTATTGTTAAAACAGCAAAATTGACGGGATGAGTCTGCTTTTCCAGTGGTACCGGACCAGTCTGTCGAAAATGCTCAGAGCGGATCACAGATAGCCACTTATCTCACTGTATAGAGTAAATAGATTCTCGGATGCTGAAGGAATCCTCAAACGGTCCTTTATCAGTCATATATAAGGTCGATCTCCGGGTTGCCTACCCATAAGAGGTTGCAATTTTCAAAATGTTCCCACTTTTAGACAAACCCAAACCAAGCACCGTATACACGACAACTTAGGTCTCGATAATGAAAAATCGCCCTCTCGGTATGTTGCACGTTCTGATACACACTGATCGATTGACTGGTTGGGCTCATTGACTAAGCAACATGTGATGTCCCGTTCAGTCCGTGATGTTTCACCTAGTATGACACACACACATGGGAAACTGCTCACCAATCGGATAGCCCTTGTGAGGAAATCAAACAGATATGTAAGCGGTTCCAAACGGAATCATTTAGTGTAACCTTGTGTCAGCGACTAACTATCACAGAGTTGCAGAATGTGTTGGAAATGCTGAATCAGACAGGTGCAACTGAAAGAAGATAAAGAATCGAACGGCTGTCCGGGAATCTGTCAAGACCAATAAATCTGAGGAAAGATGAGGCCTGAAAACAAATGAACAAACAGTTCAACACAGTTAATGTAGTAAGATGTTTCATCACCAATCGGCCGGTAACCGCCGCCGCACGGAAGCGTTTCTGTGTCAATGGGTGAACGATAAACGCAGTTGTTCTTGCTAGAGTACTAATGAAATGGGGCAGTTTACTCGCCAAAGGTCATTGTACCAATTACAAACTTGGTCCAAACAGTCCCTCTTGAGCGATGCACTTCTACTTCGTGAAGTATCTACATGATTCTATTAAGAATCATGTATGGAGTGTAAGCAGTCACCAGGGTCATGACCACTAACGATGGCACTCATGTATACTGATGCTTGTCATAACGAATGAATCGAGCGGTTTCAGTAGGACACGGTAGCGGAAACAACGGAGGATTAGAAAGTGAATTTGGTCGTGTTCGCTCAAGGTTTTGAACGCACCTGGTCCAAACAACTTAAGCCCCACCCTTCTCAAACACGGTGCTCCGCCACGGTCTCAGATTTTTGTACACATAGCTAACCTTTCACTCAAACTCCGAACTGCTGGCGCCCAGTGAGAATTACTCAACATCCCCAAAGGAACGTGAAAGGCCCCAGTAGCGAAGCGTTTCAGACCAATTGCTCTCACTTCCATTGGTTTCAAATTGATGGAGCGATCAGTTTTGTATCGTCTTCAGTTATCCCTTACCATCCCCGAAGACACTCATCAATTTGCGCACAAACATAACCGCTCTACATTGGATGCCGTTTCTTCTCTAGTTCATTTCACCTGGAAGTCTCTTAACAAGAAAGCCAAATATGTAAATTGTGCATTTCTGGACTATCCTTCCGTTTTTGACTCGGTGCCCCGTTCTCCTTTACTTAACAAACTCCAATCTTTTGGCTGTCCAGCTTCTCTTCTTGAATGGCTTGATGATTACTTTTCGCAAACATATCAGTATGTTAAATTGGGTAGAAGACAGTCAACCGCATCACTCAATAGCTCGGGTATACCTCAAGGTGCTGTCCTGTCACCCGATCGTTTTTTGACTTGCATATCAGTGACTTACCTGTAAATCCCCCTGTTCGACATTTTAAGTATGCTAATGATATCGCCATTTCTGTTTCCGTATCTAACCAATCAGAACTGGTTGAATATAACACAAACCTATTCCATCTCGTTTCATATTCCACTTCTTCAGGTCCTAATCTTAATCTCGAAAAATGCCTTGAATGTATTTTTACTTTAAACCGTACCCCATCTCCCTCCGACGATGTCCAGAGTCATGGAAAGCCGATGAGCAGGGTCAGCCACGTGAAGTATTTAGGTGTCACACTTGAAAGTAACCTTCGCTGGTCCTTACATACTCAAAGTATTGCTCGCAAGTTGAAAAGTCTCTCTTTTCAGATAAGAAGATTGCGCCAATTCTGTTCTGACTCGTCGGTTCAACAATGTGTCCTCCTTATACCCCTTCGCTGCTACCCTGTAATTTTCCCTGGTTTGCAGAAGGCTGATTTCAAGTTGCTGAGGCGTGGCCTCTCAATGATCAGCCGTGTCTCCCAAGTTCCATTATCTGTTCTGA